TCGGCCGATAAGGGAGCATTGCCGATGTTGTCGTTACCGATCGAGTTGTTAGTCGAGAGTTTATCCCTAACGCCGGCCCTTCTTCGCAAAATAATCGTACACGTGGCTGCGTAACGTTGGTTGAAATAATCAAGTACGCGAAGTCTGATAACGATACTCCACTCGTCGAGTTGGGCTCTGGATATCGAATAAACCTATGATACACTCATCCTTGAAGTAAGCACGCGTTTCAGAAGCACGTCGAGTTATCGCGATACTCGATTGCTCTTATGCGAAAACCGGCCCTCCCACTTGGCATTTGAATGAAAGATAAGAACCCCTTACTCTCTCCAGTGGCCATATGAGAGCTGATTTTACTTTTGTGATGCCATGGGTAAAGATATTTATATCAAGTGATTTGGCAAAGTGACGTACGTTTTCTCTAGAAATAATTGTAATAGGCGTATCAGATAGATTTGCATTGTTGTTATTATTTTTTCTTGAAAGAGCGTACAATCTTTTATTTTGTACTTGTGTAACTTATTTGTATGTTATATACGATCCTCAGAATCGAAGCAATATAACGATAATGTTATATTGTACTATAGAAATATATAACGTTATATAAAGATGTAACACTATATCCAAAGTTCCACATCGGAAACAATCGAGTTCCCATAAAGATACAATTACACAGGTCTATCTAAAAACTATTAAACAATTTATCGCGCGATCCAAGATCGGTAAAGAGAGATTCGAAGACGTTTTTCCTCCATTTAGTTGGTCGTCGTACACGTACGAGATCAGCGTCCAGAGATTCTGGAAAAGATTCGCGAAGCCAGTGGAACGAAAACTTGAGAGGATTAGAGGGAAAGAGAGAAAGAAAGGGCGAAGAAGAAAGAACGGTGGCTATATACGGGGTCAAGAGAGAGGAGGACGAAGAGACGAAGTTTCGAAACGACCGACAGTCGGTATCTTCCACAGAGTAAGTTTCTCAACGAGGCCGAATCTTATATTCTATTGGAAAAGAGAGGATACAGAGCAATTGCTCTAGACTTCTTGCGTGCACATTTGATTTTTTGCGAAAGAAGAGGAAGAACGATTTCGATATAATATACCAGATCGTTGGGACGTTATCCAAAAGATGACCTCGTCTCTATAAATGATCTAATTTTCGATCTACTCGAGTTTATGGAGGGAACGATTCTTTTTCTTCGGTCAATGGTTTGATCTTCGAGTTTTGTAATGGTTGTTCTTTTATCTGTCTCGTCGAATCGTTGATAATGTAGCTTTGTTTTTGGATTGCTTTGAGTGGGAAATTCGGTGGAATAATTTTACTGTTTTGAAAGAAGAGAAAATAAATTGTTGAATGAAAGTGATGTTGTATGTATGGATATAGAAAATTTCTAAATTAAAAATAAAATAGCGATATCGATTTATGTAATATTAAAATATTAAAGATAGACGGTAACTATTATACAAGAGAGGAATATAGTGTGCTTTGATATCTGAATTAAATATCACGATTTAAAATCGCAGCAAGTTCGAATTCGAATGGGATATAGTAATGGATAAAATATTTAAAATATTCGTCAAATAGAAAAATATTTAAAAGTTTGGAGAAAAGTTTTTTGAAAACTTCCGAGAAATCAAAGTCCAATTGTTCGTCGGAGTATTGGAAGTTCAATATATACCGAGTAATGTCAATATTTGTGCTCTGAAATCATGAAAGTTAAAAAAAAAAAGTTTGAACGGGAATGGAAGAAACATAGTAAGAAGTTACTTCGTGCGAATAGTAATTATTCTACAGTAATAATATATGAAAACATCAGGAGTTTTAGAAATTAAAGAGGAGGAATTAAGAAACTATATTCAAAGTTTCGAATTCAGAGGATTATTAATACAATAGAGGATTATTAAAATCGATTATTAATATAATAGAATTAATACGTGATGAATATAATTAATATTTTAACATAATAATTCAGACAATTTAAAACGTAAAATTTATCCTTATAATTTATATTAATTACATTTCATATTCCATTTTAAAACTAATTCAATATTTCTATTATTAATATTGTAAAAATTACAAACGTTTCATAGAAATCTCATTATTACATTTTGAAAATTGTACAATGATATTATTACCAATTATAATTTATCCATTATCAATTAATTATAACAATTTTCGATTATCTCAAACTTTTTAAAGTATATACGCATATACCCATTGAACTATTTAATATGTACTCATAATAATTTCGAATTTTCTACAATACACCGATCACAATAACGGTGGTATCCTGCTACTATTGACCCATATACGTACTTTCCCTTCGTATCACGTGAGATATCTCGGTTCACCACTGCATAGTTGATTGCCTATCCCAAATAACTCTGGTTTACCGCTGCATAGCTGATTGTCTATCCCGAAACAACATGATTCGGTGGCAGTCAATGGATTAAAGTGATACACGCATAACGTTAAACAACTCTAATATTTGATGAAAATATTTAATTTATATATTTGATTTATCTTTAGATAATAATAAATTTCAAACTTGGAACATCCTTATTTCCTAATTTTTAATTTTCCTATTATCCACAATGCATAAATATTGCGTTTAAATTGATATTTTCAATATATGTAAAGCGAATAAAAGGTACAGATATTAATTTTAATTTAAATAAAAAAAAAGAACATTTGACAAGTCGTTAATAACGCTCAGAATTTAATTTCTCAAATATAAATAATAGGTTCAACGTTATGAATATCTAACTGCGGGATGATTCTCATGCAAGAAACTAGTGAATTGTGCACGTTTTAATCCGACAACGTAGCCGGTCGTCTGACGCCATCCATCATATTCTACTTGCGAGAGCTAAAATTCAATTTAATCGGGCGGCAGGCGTCGAGGCTCGTCGATAAAAACAGGATGAAAATTTTAAGATTTTTATTTGCAGTATGCTTGGTTGGTAAATATCCCCGCCCTGGTGGAATATAATTCATTGCCTTTTGTTACGAAAATGACACAGTTTCTCGATCCCGCGAAGGTAAAATTATTTCAATTCGTTCAAAAATCGCGGTTTAAATTTGCAAATCCAAGCGCAACACCGCACTGCGGATAATAACAATTTCAATAATAAACCAATAAAATAATGACGAGTTTAATACCAGTTCAAATTAAACGTTCAAAAGAAGAATTAAAAAATACCTGATGATTATATCTATCTATACTAAATTCTATTTTATATCTTTAACAAGGAACAAGGTATATAATATTACAATATATTCAGAGCTTGGATAGAATACCAAAAAGAAAATTTCAATTTTCACAGGAGAATTGTTTCAAAGCTAGACTTATATAAAATTATTTCTACATACATCTCTAATTCTTCGTAATTGTCAACTTGTTCATTCTTTTGCATAACATTCCTCTCATAACAATTCATAACACGAACCTTTAAAAATTCACCGTTCTCAAATTCTCTTTCCCTCTTTCAATATCTATTATCCAGGTTTATTCATCGTAAATTCGAAAAAAGCATACCTCTCACGGCATAGATTTCCATCCCTCACCCCTCCCCATTATTTTTACTTAATTTATCGCGCGTATCGTGCATCGTCATAAGATGTCAACTTAGTCGCGACAGGAATTCCGGTTCGGTATACATATACCTCGCTGGAAACGATGCAGGTGGAAAGAACAGACAGAAAGGAGGGAAAGATAATAGGGATCTCTCTAACCTCCTGGTGGACGGTCAATTAAATCTCGTCGACGTCGCGTGCAGGAAGCGGGGCGCTGCGTGCACCGGAGGCTTCCTTTCCGATTTCGAGTGGGTGGACCCTAACTCTAGAAATTTATTAGCCCGTGCGACCGACCGGCTAATCCTCGGTCCTCGGTGGTAGCCCTCGAGCGTGCAACTATTACCCGCGGCGCGCGTCTGGGGCTGGCCGCAAGCGGATCGGCCCAGGTGTGCCAGGCCACGGTGATGAAATTAAGCGAAAAAAAAAAAAGATGGGCGAGCATGGTTTCGGAGTTTCACGTGTCACGAATGGACACAGAGGGAATGCGAATGAAATGTAAACAGAAGGGTGGAAAAAGAGGGAGGAGGGGGAGGAGGGATTCTGTTCTTTGTTCTTACGTCGGAGACTTTTAAGTGATTCAATTTTAACGGGTGTCTCTGTTGGCTCAGACCCTTCCTACGGCTTTGGGGAAACGTTCTTTCGGGGAAGGGTGGGTGTATTGTTAAAGGGGACTGGCTGAAATGTTTTTGGGATTGGGGGAGGGTGATAGGTATTTTGATAGGATAATTAGCAATACGAATATGGGAGGTGTTATCTGCAACGATTGAATGTTTTTATATGGATTTTGGAAGTTTTTTTTTTTTGGATGATTATTTTCATTGATCATCTTTCTTAGTATTTTGAAAAATGTGGATTATGAGGATTCGTTGTGTTGTTGAAAAGAGTTTTGAAACGCTATTCTTTGAAAAATTATTTTTCAAGTGAGTTAATGGATGTTTCTCTTTTTCACTCATCTCTTTTAATATTTTAATAAAATATCAAAGTATTCTGATGACTTCAGAATTAAACTATTCTATCTTAAAAATTTTGCAATAATCGATATTAACCGCCATATATTTCTCCCAAAGACAAATATTTAAATATTTGATTCTAAAAAAAATAGCACGAAACTTTTAAAAAACGTGGATTCTGCAAATTTGAATTATTTCAAACCGTTGCAATTTTTCCGCAATCGCCGATCCATTAAAATAAAAGTTTTAACAACCTAACACCGAATATCCTCTAAAACATCGACTCTCCAATTCCACTAAAAAAATCATCAGATTTTACAACTTTTACAACAATCCTTATTCATTTCAACATCGCGCTCGATTGAATCTAAAAAAAAAGAAAAAAAAAAAAAAAAAGCCATCGATATTTCGACGCGTCAGCACATTCACCATCACTCCATCGCATCGTATCGAAATCATAGCGATAAAACTCGTATTACCTCTCTCCGGAACAGGTTCACGCAGGCCACCGCCTAAATGGATCTCGCTCATCTTCGAATACACGCCCGGAATTTGGGCGTTGCATTGTAAATTCAGCTGGCCGTTCGAGAAATGGAACGGTTGAAGATTCATCCTGATCTCGATCCACTGAAGATCCTCCTGATCTGAGTGGGCATCGTTACGATCCCACCTCTGTTGCGATTGCGGCTGGTGTCTCGTCTGCGATTCGACCTGCGAGAAATCAAACGTGAATTCAATCCGTGGAATTTCAACACGGAAGGAGAATGGGAACGAGTCGAATTCAGTCGCGCGAGAGCACGTAACGGTGTACGGGATGGATGAAAAAGGGAAGAATAATATTGGAAAGAGAGGGATGGAGCCGAGGAAATGTAAATCTGCTTTTAACGAAATCCGTTCATCTGGAATCGAGAAGCGAACCTTTCGTTTCGCTTCGTCCAATCCCCCTCTCTCTTTCTCTCTTTCTCTCTCTCTCTCTCTCTATCTCTCTCGTGCTTTACCCCATAAGTACCGCATGCTGGTACCGGCCGTTAAGCACAAAGACGACTCCTTCCAGTTCGATGAAAAGTCGAAGGACTCGGCCGTTTCCGGCACGGTGTTCCTCCGATTAACGTTTTTTTCTTTCTTTTCTTTCTTTTTTTTTTCTCTTCTTTTCTTTCCACCCTTCTCTCCTCGTCGCGAGAGAGCGTCCCTCCCCAGGTAACCCGTCGAGTATTCACGGGAGTGGCCGAGTTCCGAGTTTCTTAATGGATCATTATCGTTCTGAGAACTGGTGATGGCATCGAAAGTAAGTTATTCGGTTGAGCGGGCCACGGCGAGCTGTGAATCGCAAGTGGATCGGCTAAAATTTACTTAAAACTTTTGAGAAAAAAAAAAAAATGTCGACGACTTCACTCGATACCCAAAGCACGAGCTACACCACCGAGCTAATGTGCTTTTATTGAATGGACGAATTTGTTTATTTTTATCGAGTTTGAAAATGATTAGAGTATAATTGTTGCACGGTAATTCGTGGTTAAATAAAAGTTAAAAAGATAATTTCGAATAGGAAAGAAAATTGGGAATAACAAAATTGTATTGGAAGTTTTAAGGGAGAATGTTTCTTGAAATTTAGTCAAGTAGAAGTGTATTTGGCTTATTTCCAATTGGATACGATCAGATAATCGGGAATAGATTGGAATCTACGTGTAAAAATAAGTAAAAAATATAGAATGAAACTTGTTTGTTCTCGATTTTGAAAAAATAAAATTCATCGAATAAATCTATTTATATTAATTATTGATTACTTAAATTTAATTACTTAATTATTTATTTAATCAACTTCGTTAATCTAACCAAATTTATATTATTTAATTAATTTTCAAATTTGACTTTTTCTCATAAACGAAGACACCAATATAATTGCCAATATATATTATTTTCTATTTCTATGTATTTAATTAATTTTCAAATTTGACTTTTTCTCATAAATGAAGACACTAATATAATCGCATTATTTTCTACTTTCAACTCCAACTTTAAAGTATACAATCTTTCTGACTTCATTTATGATGTAAAATAGACCATACATTTTAACTGTAACTCTTCTTTTCTCAATATTCAAATATTATTTGTAATGCATTAAAAGTAAACTGGATATAACATGGAGATAGGTGATCCTCCCAATTAGCATTTATGTAAGTTGACTCGCAAACGTGACTGCTTGAATTAGTTTTTGTGCCATCTCGCAGGATAATCATGCTAATGCGAGTTAGGCAACAATAGGAGGAATGGTTGATAAGCGGAGATAGGCCTACAAATGAACTCATCAGTAAAATTACAAGATTCCCCTTCTTTGGATATGGGAACATTTGGTGTTAGGAATATGGCGGTAATTTGACTAGATCGATGATTAGGAATTAGTCGGAAGCGGAGGATTTCGTGATGGGAGTCGGTTATTAGGGACGAAAGATGTTATGATTTGCATAAAATGAACAATTTTGATGATATTTCTCTTAATTAAGATTCTATGAGGTTCTGAGGTTGATTGTAAAAAAAAAAAATTAATTATTGTATTTTTTTTTTGTATTTTAATTCGTTATTTTTAATTTATTCATTTCTCTGCGTTAAATATTCGATTTTAATTCAAATGTGCAAAATAAATGTAAGTTATTATATAATTGCAATTTATTATTATTTAGAATACAATTTTGTTCGATTATAAATTGTGTAACATTTGATTTGTATAGAGTTTTATTTATCATTTCAAAAGTAGGTTTAGCGATTTTTATATCTGTTATTGATGTTACACCTGACCAGGCTACATTGCAATGGGCCAGAAAGATAAAAATTATTATGAATGCTACTTTTTATTCTTGATACATCGCCGTGCAATTTTTATTCTCTTTTTGAAATTGATACACGTTGCAAAATGTTATCTTGAATTTGACAAACGAAGAGAAAAATTTCGTAATGTGTTGCATCTTAACGTATATTTTATTTTCTTCATTTTTTATTTTTACTTTTTTTGTTTATTTCTTGTTAAAATTACTTTCGAAGCTTTTACTATTTCAACTTGTTTTATTACTTTAAGTAATTCGTCTCCTCTTAGCATTCTTTTTCATATAAAAATTTATCCTATGTATTAAATTAAATTCAATTAAAATTTATAAAGAGAGACGTAATATAAATGTTGTGATTAAAAAATAGGAATAAAATATATTCTATTTCTAAAAAGTTAATAACTACGAATTAAATTGATACAATTTTCACACGAAAATTCCAATTGTAACTCAACATCAATATCAATATCTTTCGAACGACATCGCTCTTACGATGCTGCATTACAAAATCGATATCAACGCAAATTAAACAAATTGAATTCACTGCACCGGATATCCCCGCGAATCTTTTAACAAACATCGCTTAAAATCCAATGCAGGGATCGATGTTTCGCTATAAATGTTCGAAACAAATGCGCGATGGAATGTTCGGTATAAGAACAAATGCCCGGACATTTCTGTCGTGTTCGTGGTCGATGAGTAACGCGTTTTTAAATGTAACAAACGCTCTGCCCCCGCACGATTTATTATTATTTCGATGAACGTTCTTCATAAATTCGAGTAACAGTGAAAATGAAAAAGTGAATTGCACGAGAACACGGAAGGAAACGGGGGATAACGTCCAAACAGCGTCTACGTACATCCGCTTCTTTTTCCCTTTCCCTTCTCTTCTTTATTCGTTTTTTTCTTTTTTTTTTTTCTTTCTTCCTTTTTTCTTTTTTTTTTTTTTTAAATTTTCATTCGTTTCGTGTTTCGTTTCGTTTCAGGAGTGGAATTCGGAAACTGCGATGGAATTTATTTGGAGGGAAGGGAGAAAAAGGAGAAGGAATACGAGAGTCGAATAAATGAAAGCTAAAAATAGAGAAGAATCAGAGGAAACATTGTAGTAGTCTGTTCCTGTAGCGATTCTTTTTTTTATGCCAACGAAGAGAATTTCGCCAAAATCCTTGCATTTTTATCGATACGTGCATTAAAATTCACTTTTCAATTGTAACAAAAGGATGATACTCTTGATACGAGTAGTCAATAGAATGGTAAATCGATTTAGAATTTGAACATAATTATGAAAAAATAAAAATGTGGAGGAAATTTTGTGTTCTATAATAATTGAAAAAATTAAATTAAATGCATAACAATTTATTAGATATCTAACAAAATAATTATATTCTTTTCTTTTATATTATTATTATTACTTTTTTTTTATTTGTTCGAATGTCTATAAATTAATATATTTCAATGAAATTTTTCGCGTATTTTTAGTTTGAATAGAAAGCTTTACTGTTTGTTTTTTGTAAAACAACATGTAAAAGGATTTTTTTTAAAAACTTCACTACATTTCAAACAAAACTATTGAGCTTCGTAGCTTTAGATTTTTTTAGAAGTAAATACAAGCTTTACCTTGTTTTTTTATAAAAGTATAGACCAACTTCAACAAATTTTTCAACTTGGAAATTTTTTTGCGTATATGTGCACGTGTATACTTACTTCTTTTCACGCAAAAGATCAATCAAATTTTCGTTTAAATTCTTTTTCTTTTTCTTTTTTTAATTTGAATTCCATTGAATTTTTCTAAAAAATTTGTTTAGCGTTTATTTATTTATGAACTTATGAATCATCACTTGTGTATCATTTCATCGACAATTAATTTCCATAAATTTAATAACGTTCTATAATGAATTATCTCATTTAGACAATTTTGGGTATTATTTTTATATCTTGATAAATTATCGCAAAATTTTCCTATTCTTAAGAAAATATGGACATATTACCAACACAATGTTTATATAAATAATGTAATATCAAATGATCGTAAGTCATTTTCGTTCACCAGATCAATAATCACAATAAAAATAGCAGAGAGAGAAAACTCACAAGTGGAACGAAACCTCTTACTAATTACTTCGAAAAAAAGTTTCGTCAGCATCGAACGGGGCCACGATCTCGTTACGAAGGAATCAGGGTTTGGCTGTCGTGAAATTACATCTCTGTGGGGACTTTGATAATAGACAATCGGCAGAAGCCGTTCCTTCGAAACCCTTGAAAAGAATTCTCGTAGTTCATTGTTAACGAGGAAGAGTTCTCCTCTGCTATATCATTGTCGAATTCGTGTCGAATTCCACTTCAAGGTATACTCAAGGTTTCAAACTTCCTCCAACTTTCCCTCGTAACGCGTTAAGAATTGCTATCGATTAATCCTGGGCCGGAAACATGGCGGAAAGTAAGAGCGCGGAAAAATTCATTTCCAACAGGGGTTATATATGTGTACATTTAACGATTTGTCAAATCTGTGTCAGTCGAGACAAATGTGTGAACGTTGGGTACCACGTTGAAGTTGGAGCATTTTCTCGGTTGAAAAATTATGCAATTCACACCTCTCGGCCCCGAGTTGGGTCTTAGACGAAAAAATACGATTTCGATGATTAATGGCTGTGCAGTGTTGATGGTTGTCTTTTTGCCCGTGACGCGGATCGTTGATAAATAAATCTTGTCTTTTTTGACTTTTCTTGGAATTCAATACGGAAGTGGGTCGAGAAAGTAATTACGAATGAGGAGAAAATATATTAGATATTGAGACAGTTTTGATTATCTTTTCTAATAATATAAAGGAATATATTTTTCTTTTGAATTCTTAATAAGGAAAAATAAGTGAATGAAAGAATCGAACATAAAAAA